AAGATTCGACGGTGGTGGTCGGGCTGTCGAAAGCGGTGGTGGCGGGATGATGGACGGGCGGCGGAGTTTAGACTACCAGGCGGCCCCTCCTTGAAGGCCAGTCCGGAGACGATTCGATGTACGACAACGATTCGATGTACGGGGGCAACGATTCGATAGCCGGGCGGCAGATCGGTTAAGGTCGGAGGCACGACCGTCGTCTCCTGCGTCGTGGTTGGCGGCGGACGGCAAATGAACGGAGTGTCTTGCATCACGGTTGGCGGCTGGCGGTGGAGGCTGGAGGGGGCTATTCTCCTGTGTGTGTGTGTGTGTGTGTGTGTGTGTGTGTGTGTGTGTGTGTGTGTGTGTGCAAGCAGAGTGTGTGCGTGAGTGTAGTGTGTGTTTGTGTGTGTGTGTGTGTGTGTGTGTGTGTGTGAATGTGATATAAACATTAGGGTTGGTATGTATGTTGAAATTACAACACTACCCCTCCAAATAAATTATTGACCAATAAATTAACATTTAATTACAAATTTGTCATTATGAGTTTGACTTTAATTACTAATTTTTGGCTTCATCTTGATCATTCATAAAGATAGATCTAATGGCTCATATTTATTCTTATTTCTCTCATTGTGATTCATTCTCATTTGAGCGCACTATATATATATATACATATATATATAATGAATGTCACATGCACAACAACAAAAAATCACCATAGCAACAATCAACAACATAAAAACGATTTAACAATAAAAAAACAACAAGTATGATAGTTAATAAATATTAAATACAACTGAATAACTTATTAGTTTTACATCAGACATGTTCGAAGAATAAACTATCATAATTTCAAATTTGAAAAGTGACAGCCTGTCAAGATAATGAATGCTACCAAAAAAAATCATTACAATGATCTACAACATCAAAACAAATTTTTGAGGTAAAAAAAAAAAAAAAAAAAAAAAAAAAAAAAAAAAAAAAAACATAAGCCCAAATACCAATTGGGTTCTTTTACATTAAAAATCCTAACACTCAAATTCAAATAAAATCTCTCGACGACTATATATGTAAATACGATTTTAATCAAAATCTCAAAGCTTCAATCCAAAAATGAAAAGTATAACCAAAAAAAAAAATCATTATTCATAGTTCAGTTTACTTGCGAGGCCGACTATGCCAAGGTTGAACCTAGAGTCTTGGTGGGACCTAAAATTTGGCGAGTCCTATATTTCAACAAATTATAGCCATAGATGTCCAGGTCGTTGTTCAACGTGCTCATGCAACGATTAAGGAAAGATGGCCTGCGGTTGTTGAAATATTTGGTTTGGTTGATGCTCTCAATCCATTCTTCCTTGGAGAATGGTTTCTGCCCACCACTGACAGTCACGATTTGCCATTTCGTTAATGTGTTGATACTCAATTTGACTCCGCTTAATTAAATGATAAACAAAATAATGAAATACGGCCCGATAACCTAGGGGCCGAAAATATATAATAAATAGATAAACAAACAGGTACGCAAGACTAATCGCCCGAAAAAGCCGGCTGCATCTCCCACGCATATTTACACTCTGCCGAGCTTAGCCGAATCCCGAGTACTCAGATAGTAGGGATACCATGATTGCCGACAAAGTAGACGTCACTCAAAGCCGTCAAAAGACAAGTGGGCCCCCGATTGTCATTTCACATTGAGTAATAATGTGTTATTTATACCATTTTTAATTCATGTATAAATATGTAAGAAAAGAGAGGGGAAAGGGAACTTCTCTCCATTTTTTTTTTCTCTCCTCCCCCAACAACTCAAAAGAAAGAGAGATTCACTCTCCAAACATAAGAAATAAAAACATCATCTTTACTAATTTATTCTTGAATTTCCTACAAGATATTCGATTTATATTTAACAGTTGATCGTTTGATTTTCGACATCAAACATAATGTAAATAATATTTTAAAAAGGGTGGAGGGTGTACTTAGTTCAAATCTAGTCTAACGAGGTAGTTTGCAAGAAAAAAAAATGGATTGGAAGACGGTTTGTTGGGTTCAGACAGGTGGTAAAGTTAAAACTTTGGAAAAAATTTCGGGAGCCAAAAAAATCACTCTAAAATATATTAATTAATATGGTCAAATATATAAGTGCAAAATTAAATGCATTAATAAATATTATAATAATTTCATTATGATTATTACTATCTTATAATTAAAGTGAATTTCATGCATAAAAATTAAGTTATTTTATTATTTAAAAAAAATGAAAAACAATAAATAAAGAGAGACGCCTAAGCGCCGCCATGCTTTCCTAGGTGTCTGACAAGACAGCCTTGCCAACCTAGGGGTGACTAGCACAACCTAATCCACCTAAACGCCAAATCGTTTGACCACTTAGCATGATAGTGGTGTCTAAATGTCACCTAACGCATAGGCACCTTTCCTAGGTCTATTGTTAGAACAAAAGTCACCTAATGAACTTGCATTTTAAGTGGGTCAATTTCTTATTTTTCATGGCTATAAGCTGTTAACTAAATTTTGTACCAGGAAATAAACCCTCTCTAAAATACTCTCTCGGAACATGGAAAAATAAGCAGATCTGCCTACCTCCCCGCCTCCAATGTCACCGACCTTACTATTGCTAGCGACGACGCCCGCCTGCGAGATTCCGACCGAGACCGTTCAACTTTGTCAGCACATAGATGGGCCCATCATGGGCTCCTCGCTTTTGTTGTCGATCGACATTCGGTTTGTCACAGTTGAGAGGATGGTGATTTGTCGCAGTTGAGAGGATGGTGATAGCAACCCTTTCTCGTTTGGTCGCTTTCTCGTTTTAGTCACTTTAAAGGATATATCGGGTCCAAAGGTATCAGACCTAGTTAGCATTTACCATCTCAAAGTTGGAAGTTTCTAGACCTGCTATTTTTAGGTTGTGGTAGTATTCTTGTGTGTCCAACTTCAATTTGTTTGCTCAAATGGTGGCGTTTGCAAAGTTAGTTTGTAGCCGGAAAGGCTCTAGTTTATGATTTGTTGTGTGCTAGATTGTTCGTATTTTTTGTGATTTTTGGTTGTTGGCCTCTCATTGAGCTTTTTTAGTCTCCTCTATCTGTTAGGAAGTTTTTTGTTTCCCTTGTTTGTGAGCTTCTGAAGTTTTATTGTTTCCCTTGTTTGTGAGCTTTTTAGGGTTGTGCCATGTGGAAAGGAAGCACTTATATTAAGTAACTCCCCTAATTCATTTCTTTCTATCTCCAATTACATTGACCAATTGGTTATCAATTGTACTTTTTATGAGTTTTGATTAATTTTAATTGCCATAAAAGTCAATAACTAAATATCATTGTGTATAAAATTGTTGGCACATGGATGTCTTGTTCATCCAAAAACACAGATTTGACACCACAAGCATCTGCCATTTAGTGGTCACTGCAGACACCTCGCTTGCTACGATCAAGAATATATGGGAGAGACAGAAGCTACCAGTCGGATAATAATAAAATTTACACCCAATCTTATAATCTCATGTGTGGAATAGATCATACCAATATAGGACTGGAAACTTGTGTAACCGCCGGAAAAAATTTAAAAATCTTATCGTTTGGCCGAATAATTATAATGCCAATTGTGAATGGGAATTACATAACTGTCTCGGCTTAAACTCGACAAAACATATCACAAGCCGCCTCCCAAGACTGCAGCAGAGAGGAAGGAGTAGAAAACTGGAATCCCAACTCTTTACCTGGAGAAACAAATATACTTGCACTTTTGAATTGCTTAACACTAGTACATTAGGCAACATGAGTTCACATCGTAGTTCGTTTTAACACAGGGACTCATTCAAGCCCCTAGTTTCTGAAATGATAGTTCCTTAAGTGATCGAGCTAGCCTGCGGAAGACTTTAAGATTGTGACCTGTTTTATCCTGCATATCAAACACCTAACAATAAAAATTTACGGAGAACATTACATATAGTATAGGTGTATATTTGTGAGTGGGAGGTTGAAATCCAGCCACCATCCTTCAAAAAATTCAAAGATGTTAAATCAGACTCGCATAGAAAGTGAAAACACTTGCTTTATCAAACTCCTATTCCACCCTACGACATTAGAGTTATTTTTAACACGGCCAGTAAATTCTTTTGTAGGAATTTGAACTCTTTAGGTTCAAATCCATCTACCCAACCAGTATAACTGCAAAAAGGGGTTCAGTTTTCATTACTATTCAGTTGTAGCTGCTAACAGAATTTTCAACTGATGCAAATATCAATACCAAGTAATTGCACCCACCTCACCCTAGCACTAGTAAATAATATGTAATTAATATTTACACATACAACACACAGCTATATCGACATAATGGACATTCGCACACAACTAGAGAAGGCGAGAACAAAATCCAAAGTTTTCTCAGGTTATGAAGTAAAATAAAGCAGCATACCTCGCTGACAATTTCAAGCCTTTCAAGAATCGGAATCAATTCTCCACAAAGTGAAGGTAAATCCTCTTTCGCGTTGAGTGGGCCGTCATATGTGATCGCTTTCAGAGACTGACTGTTACGATATGCATATGAACTAAGGGAAAAGGCACGCTAGTCAGACTACAGTTAATTTTGCCATCCTGAATGCTAGTACAAGTAGTATAAGTAGGATAAGCAGCTATACCTATCATGGAAATGAGTAAGGATAATGTTCATCAGATTTTGTGCAAGTAGAAGCAAAAGCATGATAAGCCGATTCCAGTGACCAACAAACCAGCACATAGCCACCATGGCAGTACATCTCCTAAACA